CTTAAATTAAACTTTTAATTTTGAGATCATTATAGATTCAAAAATAATTTACAAGTAGTGTTTGATTCACATATAATACAGATTCCTTATGTACCTTTTACTTGGTTTACCCCAGTGGTAACTAATCTTGCAAAACTATAGTGCAATATCACAACCAGAATATTGACAATGATATAGGCAAGATACAGAACAACTGCATCACCACAGGGTTCCCTAGTTGCCTTTTATACAACCATCCTTTCCTCTACCCCGTCCCTAACCCCTACCAGTAATCTGTTCTTCATTTTTATAGTTATGTCATTTCAAGAATATCATACAAATGGAATAATACAGTATGTAACATTTTTGGAATAACTTTTTTTTTTCCACTTCCCACAATTTCTTGGAGATTCATCTAAGTGGTATGCATGAGTAGTTTGTTACTTTTTATTGCTGAGTAGTATTTCATGACTTACTTTTCATCTGTATTTTGCTATTATTTGAAAAACTGTCTTGCTTGAGTTTTTCTCATCTATATATTTGCTTTGGAATTTAGACTAAAAGCAAAACCATAGGAGTATCCTGGTTTTCCTTTAAATTGCATGTAAGTTGGTCGTTCATAATGTATTGACATTATTATGACTTATAGGAGACAAAATCTTATGTACAAATATGCTCCACTACTTTTCTCCTCTTACATTTCTTAAACTAGAAAATCAATCCACATGAGGGAGAATGCTGCCTGAAAAATATTTAGAATAGCCCCTGTTCCAGGATATCTTCATGCTAGTCTGAGCAGGAAAGAGCCTGCTCCTGGATAGCACTTGGCATGAGAGAAGCATTTTCACATTACAGGCGAGCATTAGGATTTTTCTGTTTTTCTTTAGTCAACATGGTTTTAGTGTTGAACCAAAATTCTAGCCCCAAAAATGAGAGAAAGAATGGAGACTTTCATTCTTTTGTGGTAAATAAGCCTGGGTCCAGATTCTGAACTATGTTAAATGCTCATCCAAGGAGGAGCCTTGATCTTATTCAAAGCAGAAATGAAGAAATGAAAAAGTGAATAAATAATTGTATTGCAGACAGTGTTTAAAGCTGTAGTATAACTGTAAGTAAAATATTGGTGATCTCCAAAATATCATTCTAACTCTTAATATCTGTTATCTTTCACCTTAACAAGAAGTAACTATGACAGTCTTAAATTCTATTTAAGAAAAAGTAGAGGGTAGATATATAATAATAATATATTACTATCACATAATTACCTAATTATTATACTAATTATTTTAGTTTGAGTAGATGCTTTGGAGAAAGGTAAAAGGATGTTAGAGATTTTCAGACACTTAGCAAACACTGATGCTTATCTAACAGTATTGGAAACACTTCACCAGGGATTTTTTAAGTTTTCATTTTGCATATGGCAATTATAAAATAAGAATTCTTCAGCATAAGCTGATATCATTATTATATACTTTATATAGTGATTAGTGATTTTTATGCTGATCTAAAGCGGTTTTCTCATGTTTTAACTATTTTTTCACACACTGATCATCTTTAAGTATATTATAAAAGTTAATGCATGCCCTGGCTGGGTAGCTAAGTTGGTTATAACATCGTCCGATATTCCAAGGTTGTGGGTTTGATCCCCTCCCAAATCAGGGTACAAGAATCAACCAATGAATGCATAAATAAGTGGAACAACAAATAGATGTGTCTCTCTCTCTCTCTCTCTCTCTCTCACTCCCCCCCTCTCCCCTCCCTCCCTCCTTTCCTCCCTACTTCTTTATTCCTCTCTCCCTCTTTCCCTTCCCTCCCTTCCCCTCTAAAAATCAGTAAAAAAAATTGTTAAAATGTCCATATTACCCAAGGCAATATATAGATTCAACGCAATCCCCATCAAAATACCAAGGGCATTCTTCACAGAATTAGAACAATTACTTCAAAAGTTCATATGGAACCAAAAAAGGCCTCGAATAGCCACAGCAATCTTGAAAAGGAAGAACAAAGTTGGAGGGATCACATTACCAGATTTCAGGTTGTACTACAAAGCCACCATAATCAAAACAGCCTGGTACTGGCACAAGAACAGGCCTATAGACCAGTGGAACAGAACAGAGAACCCAGAAATGGACCCAAGGCAATATGCTCAATTAATATTTGACAAAGGTGACAGGAGCATACAGTGGAGTAAGGACAGCCTCTTTAATAAATGGTGCAGGGAAAATTGGACAGCTACTTGCAGAAAAATGAAACTAGACCATCAACTTACACCATACACAAGAATAAACTCAAAATGGATAAAAGACTTAAATGTAACTCATGAATCCATACAAATCCTAGAAGAGACTGTAGGCAACAAAATTTCAGACATCATACGCAGCATAATTTTTACTGACACATCACCTAAGGCAATAGAATCAAAGGAGAAAATGAACACATTGGAATACATCAAACTCAAAAGCTTCTGCACAGCGAAAGGTACAATCATCAAAACGGAAAGGCTACCCACTGTATGGGAGAGCATAATTGCCAATGATATATCAGATAAGGGGTTAATTTCCAATACATATAGAGTGCTCATACAACTCCACAAAAGGAAGACAAAGAATCCAATTAAAAAATGGGTGCCCTGGCCAGTTTGGCTCAGCGGTTAGAGCGTCGGCCTGCGGTCCAGAGAGACCCGGGTTCGGTTCCCGCTAAGGGCACGTACTTCGGTTGCAGTTTGTCCCCGGCCCTGGTTGGTCATGCGGGTGGCAGCCACTCGATGTGTCCCTTCACGTCGATGTTTCTCTCTCTCTCTTCCTTCCTCTCTCTCCCTCCCACTCTATCTGTACAAAAAATGGAAAAATATCCTCGGGTGAGGATAAAAAAAAAAAAAAAAAAATGGGCAGAGAAACTAAATAGACACCTCTCCAAAAAGGACATACAAATGGCTAAGAAACATATGAAGAAATGCTCATCATCATTAATCATCAGAGAGATGCAAATTAAAACAACAATGAGGTATCACCTCACACCTGTCAGAATGGCCGCCATCAACAAATCATCAAACAACAAGTGTTGGCGAGGGTGTGGAGAAAAGGGGACTCTAGTGCACTGCTGGTGGGAATGCAGACTGGTGCAGCCACTATGGAAAACAATATGGTGTTACCTCAAAAAATTAAAAATTGAATTTCCATTTAACCCAGTGATCCCACTTCTAGGAATATACCCTAAGAAGCCTAAAACACCAATTCGAAAGAATATATGTACCCCATGTTTGTAGCAGCACTATTTACAATTGCTAAGATATGGAAACAGCCCAAGTGTCCATAGTAGACGAATGGATCAAAAAGCTGTGGTACATATACACAATGGAGTACTATGCAGCTGTAAGAAAGAAAGATCTCTCATCCTTTGAGATGACATGGAGGGACCTTCAAAGTATCATCCTAAGTGAAACAAGCCAAACAGAGAAAGACAAGTTTCATATGATCTCACTTATTTGTGGAATATAATGAACATAACAGTCTGAGGAATGGGGTAGTCCCAGAGACGCGGAAGTGGGGTACAGACTGACAATCCCCTAAAGAGGGGGGGGGTGGGGGAGAGATAAACCACAGAACTTATATGCATGTATGCATGAACAGTGGACATGGACAACAAACTGGGGACAGGGCGGGCAGGGACGGGGAGGGGGGAATCAGTGGGGGGAAAAGGGAGAAACATCTGTGACAAAAATCAATTAATAAAAATAAATAAAAAATAAAAAATATATATATAAAATAAAATAAATAAAATTGTTTTAAAAAGTTATGAGTAGAGAAAATCTTCTGAGCAAATCCACATGATAATCCAAGGCACTTAAAGAAATACATTCTTTAATGTGAGCAAAGATTTTACTTCATTAGTGTTTTGTTTCTCAATTCAATTATCAGACTTAGGGGAAATCTAAATCAGGGTTTTTGACTGACATATTCAGTGGGATGTGATTGGGGTGCAGGTGACTACATGATGTTTTATTATGACTTCATAAGTATTCTGATAATATGTATATAGTCTGCTACTTGTTTTCAAAAAAGCAGTTTTTAACTCCTTTTTGTCTTTCTTATCTACACGTGTTCTTAATAAAATATTATAATAAACAAAATATACCTGAATATATAGAACATACTTTTTGCAGGCCAAAATAAGTTGCATATTGACTCTCTGATCTTATTCTGTGTAGAGACTAGAATCAGCCTACTTGGTTTGCATAGATAGCACTAACCAAGTAAACATATAAGTGGCAAAGGAGGATAATAGACACCTAGAAATGTTTATCAGTACCACTGGTATTTTTACTACTATTTATCAGTAGTTAGAATAATGAATACAGTGGAGGAAAAAGTATAATGCCTTAATGTTTACTCTGGACACAAAGAAATTTGGTCCACTCTTCTTTCTAGTGGTCTGGTACTCCAGATGGACAAGCAAGGATGTAGTGGAGGTTTTAGAGCCATTCAGACCTGCCTTCAAATTCCACTCCTACCACCTAAAGCTGTGTGTCCTTGAGCATGTTATTTAACCTTCTTAAGCCTCAAGTTTTGCTTTGTTTCTTAACTTATAAAATAGGTAGTTATGGAAGTTGAAGGAAATAAATTTATAGAGTATCTAGCACAGTGCATAGAACATAGAAATTGGTGCTTTGGGGAAGAAATGAAAAAGTAATTCTACTACCTGTAAGTAGAGTGCCTCTTCTAAAAAAAAATACTAACATCCCACTATGCTTACAATTATAATATATTTATAATTTCAGAATTATATATAAATCTTGACTAATTTTGCTTTTTAAAATTTTTGACTTTGGTAAAACTATGTTTAATTTCTCTGAAGCTTAATTTTTTTCTCAAAGCATTAGTTTTCAAGGACAAATTACTATATTTATAAAAGAAAAAAAATCCAAATTTAAATGTATTCTAAAAGTTTTCTTTTCATAGTTCTAGGAGTTAAAGTGTTTGTGACATGTTGATCTATTTTAATCCTTTGCTCTTTGATTTTAGCAGGGAAGGAAGGACAAGAAATCCTGGGGCCTGAAGCTCAGGCAGATGAAGCAGGATGTACAGGTACTCTCTTGCTGGTTCTTTTCATACTATAGACTTTGAACAAGATCTTTTGTGGCACTTGTTTTTGCATTTGTGAGTCCCGAATTTAGTATTTTTTTCCTCTTTTATCTTGCCCTCCTTAAATGTTTAAGTATTTAGGCATATTGGGTACTATATAAAAAGTTAGAAGTGTGTATTCTTTAAATACAATTGTGAACTTACAGATTCATATACAGATTTTCATCTTATATGGATGGCAGATGATCTACAGATAATAAAAAAAAAATAAGTGTTTGAGCGGTGATTTAAACTTCTATCAGATTTTTTACCAAGGTTATAGAAATGCATAACTATCTTGAGTTACATTATTAGTTACTAGGGTCTGCAAGACAGAAAGCAGAATAGGAAAAAATAAGCAGGTATGGGTTATTTATAAACCAGATGATAATCATTAATATTGATAAGCTGAATGAACATGTGCCAGCAAACAAGAGAATCAAAAATTTTTCTTGTGATTTCTGTGAATGAAAAAGGTCAAAATGAAGTTAAATTATATACTTCTATGTGACTAAAAGTACATACTCCCTGAGTCTTAAGGCTATTCCTCTATAATGAATTCAAATCAGATTTAAGAAGCAAAAGAGCAATTGCAAAATTTAAATCCAGATCTGATATGTATGATAATACTGGGTACTTAAATTGTATCACGTAAGTCAGCTGGAACTCTTAGAATATAAACTTTAAATATGAATTTCAAATCATTAAATTATTTCCTCAAAATACTATACTTAAAATAGTATAAATGTATTTTGTATTTTGAACCATAAATTAGATATTTCTGTCATCTGGTTTATTTAAAATTTTGTTTTTTCTTCTCTTCCTTGGTTTGACATTTATAGTTTTTTTTCTTTACAGTGCATTTTAGGACTATTCCATATATCCTTATAAATTACCCTTAATTATGTAAGATGAGGATGTTTCATAGTAATTTGTCAAAATCAGTGTCATCTATAATATAAACATTAGCACTCCTATATTTGTCAGTCAGTTCTATAAAACATAGAGTGAATCTTTATGCTGTTATTAAAAGTGTATTTCAGATTAATTAATAATGGAATATGTGATAATTTATGGTGCCTGTAGCCTAAGATTTAATATTCTGCCTTTAACTTGGTTGTGTTTAACTTGCATAAATAATGTGTTCAGGCATGCATGTTATCAAATATTTGTCATGCTAACTTACACATTATATAAAATATTTAATCTGGATGTTTATTATTAGTAAAATAACAAATTGTGTTAATGAACACAAACACACAAAAACTACTGTTTATTACTTTTTTACTTAATGTTAAATTTTGATGACTTATACTACTAGAGTTATAGAAGATTGTTTGCCCTTTTAGGCAAAATACTATTAAAAAAAAAAAACATCGATAGTTCCAGGTTTACGGTATTTTACCTCATAGTTTGCTCTTCACTACGAAAATGAATGAATTCTTTCAGTGTGAAGTACTGAGTAGTACATAATTTTCCCCCCCAAAAAATCACATTTGGAAGGTAGAGTGTACGTTTTATTAACCACAGTTGCCACTGAAAGGTGAGGTCTTCCCCACCCACAAGAAGATAATCCCTGCTACATTTTTTTCCCTACAACATGGGGAATTAGGAGTAAGCAAACATTTACTAAAGCTCTCATATGTACAGTTTTAAGGAAAGAAGAATGGAATTAGACATTTGAAGCTTTTGAGCAGCTCTACATTAAAAATGTGTTGCCTTTGCTTTTGTTACTTCCTTGATTTCTAGAGGTTTTATCATTTGTTCAGAACTTTGTCAGATCCTTTCTGTAGCTGACTTCCTCTTGCAAATTATGAAGCTAAGAGAGCTATAGTTTCAGCTTAGTATTCAGAGAGTAAAAAAGGGGGAGTGGGGGTAGAAGGTAAAGTGGAAGATTTGACTTTGGGTAGTAAACACACAATGTAATATACAGATGATGTATCATAGAATTATACACTTGAAATTTAAATAATTTTATTAACCAATGTCTCCCTAATAAATTTAATTTTAAAAGAAGAAAAAAAACTTTACGTTGAAATATCTTTTATTCCTTAAAAATGTTAATATAGTTAATAGTTTTTATATAGTTAATAGCTGTGTTTATATAGTTAATAGTTTCACAAATTGAGGTTAAAGATATGACACCTGAGAATGTTTTATTCTGATGGTAATAAACAAACTATCAATAGATAAATAAAACTTTTTATTCTTTAAGTTAAATGTTTGTCTCTATTATTGCTCTAATGTATTATTATAACCCTATAATTCTACACTTTGACAAATGATTCTAGAATTTGTCCTAAAATTCTATACTTTGTCCATCAGCTCTGAGCTTTATTATTTCCAAAACAGATTATTATTATATGTTTCTGTGTATTTGCTTCTCTCTCTAGTATTCAAATACATAAGTGTATCAGTCTTAAGACTAGGGATGTTGCTTTATAATTGGCCTATTCACAATGTGCACTTTCCAACACTGTAAATTTTATGTGTAAAACTGCAGAATTTCTGGTCTGTGCTTGAAATTGGCTTGGTAAATGCGGGTTCATGGAGACAGTGTGGTTTAGTTGGAAAGAGCCCAGAATTTGAACTGACACCTAAGACCCAATTGCCTGTTCTAATAGTAATACATTTTTTTACTCTGTGATTTTGGAGAAATTATCTAACTTTTCTGAGCTTAACTATTTTCTCTGAGAAAAGTTTTAATTGAGAAATTATAATGTTCACCTTACAGGGCTATTTTGAGGAAAATATGTAAAAATTACATTATATATGCCTAGTAACAATTACATTACATATACCTGGTATAATAGCACATGTTATATGAATTAATTTAATTCTCACAACAACCATAAGAAGTACTGTTATTATTCTCCAAGTTTTATATTATATGAACTGTTATATCATGTTTACTGTCTCACTAATTATACCATAATGTTTACTCCTTGAACTCATATTTCCATTCTGCACAACCCATAGAACTTGATAGTAACACAGTTTATATTTCCTATTTGAAAATATTTTTAATTAACTGTCATTTCTTTACAAGAAAACATACACACACACACACACACACACACACATTGAAATTTAAGTTTTCCTTTAATTTAGGAACCAGAAGGCTAATGAGATTTTTTAAAAATTATAGTTTGGGGGGTTGGGGAGAAAAGAGATAAACCACAGAACTTGCATGTATGCATGACCAATGAACATAGAATACAAAGCTGAGGATGGGGTTTGGAGGGGAAGGGGAGGAGGGTGTCAGAAACATCTGTAACGAAAACAAATTAATAAATAAAAATAAAAATTTATAGTTTATTATATAAATATCAGTACATGTACTACACAGTTGATAACAACATATATTACAAATTTTAATAAGTAGTTATTAAAGAAAATATTACTGGAAATTAAATGAAAAAACTGAAGTGTGTTTCAATTAGTTCATATATCAATAGTTTAATGATACTCATTTCTAGAAGAAAGGAAGTTTAGCACCGAGGTAACCTTACTCTCCTAAATAAACAGATGAAATACATTTTTGTCATAACTGATTTTCTTAATTCTTCACACATCTTGAAAATTATTTGCAAAGTTATGGTTACACATCAGTAAAAATATTTCTCATGACTAAAATTCAAAGCCACCTAATTTGCTAAAAGATTTGTTTCACAGTCATTAGAATCATTCAGGCCTTCATTTTCTGGGATGTATAGCAAATGGACTAATGATATTTGGTTTTGGATTTTGTTATTCTTTTATCTCCTCAATTAAGGGGACCTTGTTTAATATATTCAGAAATGATTGAGGAAATTAAAATATTGTTAACTTTAGTGACTTCTTCCAATACATTTTTAAAAATTTATCTTTATTGTTGAAAGTATTACAGTTGTTCCTCCTTTTTCCACCCAGTAACACCCTCCTCCCCGCTCCTACTTCCTCCTGCCTTTCCAATACATTTATATATATATATATATATATATATATATTTTTTTTTTTTTAATCTTATCACATGAACTAACTATATTTTTATCAATACCTTACAACTAGAAACTTAGTTTATTCAATATCTGGAATTCTGGCAGAAAAAAAAAGTGCCTCTTCATTTTTCTAATTCAAATAAATGTGTCAATATACATTTTGAGGACAAATATGGAGAGTATTATGCTCAATGAAATAAGCCAGTCAGAGAAAGATAAATACCATATGATTTCACTTATATGTAGAATCTAATGAACAAAATTGAAACAGACCCATAGATACAGAGAACAGAATGGCAACTATCAGAGGGGAGGTATGTTGGGGGATTGAGTCAATAGTATGGTGAGTACCAGAGGGAAAAGGGGGTGGGGCAGGTAGAAGATGGTAAAGGGAGAATAAATGGTGGTGGAAAGAGACTTTACTCTGGGTAGTAAATACACAACACAATATACAGATGATGTTTTTTATAGATTGTACACTTGAAACCGATATAATTTTATTAACCATTGTCACCCCAATAAATTCAATATTTTTTTAAAATTTCCTCTATGAGGAATTTATAAATTATAATAGTGAGGAATATATAAAATATAAATAGATGTATATTTTAAATATAGATTATTCAGCCCAGCTGGTGTGGCTCAGGGTTGAGTATCAATCCATGTACCAAGAGGTCACTGGTTCCATTCCTGGTCAGGGCACATGCCTGCATTGTGGGCTCGATCCTCAGTGGGGAACATGCAGGAGGCAAGCCGATCATTGTTTCCCTCTCGTTGATGTTTCTCTCTCTCTCTTCTCCCTTCCTCTCTCTCTAAAAATAAATAAATATAGATTATTCAAATAGTGACATTAAGATTATTTAGATCTAATCTTTATCAATTATAAAAATATTTGTCTCTAAATGAGTACATTTAGAACCAGTCTGTGCATAGGTAAGCTTTTAACTTATAGATAATGCAAGGTTCATGTTTAAAATACAGACTGTATAATTCTGAAAAGTGTATACTATTTAAAAACTCAATTCCAGCATATGCATGTGTGTGTGTTTTTGTTCTATATGTGTTTATGTATATATAGTTACTAGGATATAGAAAATATAAACATTTTATAAGTGAAGACTTTAATTAAAATAATACTTTGTAATATAACTTGATAAAAATATTTAAGTATCTTGTTAAATCTGCATGAATCTGTAAGAAAGCACATAAAAATACAAGTTTTATTATGAGTTATTTCTAGTTTAACTTGAAAATTTAAAGTTACATTGAAAAGACTCAATGACACTGAATTTACTGCTTTAGCTGTTCAATAATAATTATTGTTTCAGCTAATGACAGATGTTGAGAATGATTTTTGAGAATACTCTTTGCTTTGCTGTCACTAGGCTCCTGAAAAGCATTGTATTTTTTTTTAATTATATGGAATAGAACAGGTGATGTCATTAAAGTAAAATTACTCTCACTCTCTCTGCCTGTTTTATTATATAACTTGATTTCAGAGCTTCCTAATTAGGACTACAGTATCCCCATTTCAGTTGCCTTGGATAGATATCCATGTAAACAGGAAAAACTGGAAGGCTTATCATGGCTTTATGTTGCCTTGACTAAGCAATAAAGAAGGTTTACCTAATCAGTATTCTGAAATTTTTTTCTTTGACAACCTGGAAGATTTCATGCCCCAGGGCAATGCATCATATTATATACTGGGTCCATGGAGGGATATGCCTTTTTTTTTTTTTTCTGTGTAAAGTGGAAGAAAGAGAGAAAAATGAACGTTTAGAATTCTAAGGAAGAGCATATATGGAAGTTGAGGATCTTGAAATAGATTCCCTTAAAACCAACAATATCAGCTTACTTCTTAAAGAGTCTTCACTTACCCCTGGATCTAGTAACCCCAGTTTAGTGACTACTGGCAGTGTATAGAAGATGCTAAATAATTGATAGCTATTGGCTATATTAAGGACAGGGGAAAAGGAATGGCTCACTGTTATTACCATGTCATTGGCTCAGCAGCAGCCACCCTAAGGAGTTCAGTTACTAATACTGTGCAGGATATTTAGCAAGATTGTTTTAATGACTGCTGAACAGAAAAGATGCCCATACATCACCATTTTAATTTGGCCCAATATTAGTCTTGCTGGGAAGTGGTGTTTTACAAATTTAGAATTGAAAAGTCAGTCAGAAGTGCATAAAGAAGTCAGCCAGGAGACATTTGGGAGCCATCCTAACCCATTACAGTTACCACCAGTGTGGAGCAGACAGATGCACTCTCTTCTGTGGAGCCAGTGGGGTTAATGGAGGAAAACCCTGGTGCAGCAGTGCTGTTTAGAAACTCAGCAGCACTCTGGACTACCTTCTCAAGGTGGAAACATTCTATTATCTCTTTTACTTTTTGTAATCCTCACCCAGGGGCATGCTTACTGATTTTTAGAGACAAGGGAAGGGAGAGAAGAGAGAGAAACATTGATCAGTTCCTTCTTGTACACACCCTGACTGGGGATTGAACCCTCAACCTAGGTATGTGCCCTGACTGGGAATCGAACCTGCAGCCTTTCAGTGTATGGAACAACACTGTAACCAACTGAACCACCCAGGCAGGGCCATTCTGTATCTCTTGAACCTTTTTTAACTCATGAAAAAAAATGCCTCTGTCTTACTGCTATAGTTAAACATCATTTAGGCAGAAATAGTGCAAGAATAGCCCAGTTTGTATATGAATACTAGAGGAGACAAGAAGCAATTTTATCGATTTGGTACTTTGACTCTTATTAGAACTCTTTCTAACTATAAATAACTATTAAAGCTATTTTCTAAGAAATCAAAGCTATTTTCTAAGAAATCACATAACTGAACTATATTTCAGAGTGCTTTATATTGAGAATGATTCAGATTTAAGGTACAAGTCTTAAGTAAATGATACAGTTGATTGCTAGGAAAAACTAAGATTTGTGAACTAAGGTTTTCTTTTTTCCTTGTTTTTACATTGACTGAGAAACCAGGAATTCAGCCAATTGTATTAACCTTCTGCATATCTTATTTATCATTAAAATGGAATAGCCGTACAACTCTGAAGCTTAAAGGGAATATTGTGAAAATTTCAAAACTTTTATAACACTTCAAATTTATTTTTAAATGACTTCTTTTTTTTTTCTTTTTTTTTCTTTTTTTTTCTTTTTTTTTTCTTTTTTTTGGTATGTGCCCCTAGCGGGAACCGAACCCAAGACTTTCTGGTCCGCAGGCCAGTGCTCCAACCGCTGAGCCAAACCGGCCAGGGCTTAAATGACTTCTTAATCAAATATAACAGAATGAGTGAATTTAGTTTTTAATATTCAGTAAATATTTTCTGTAAATTTAGAACAATCTAATATTCTATCAAGATAAACAATTCCTCATTTAGAATAACTTAGTAACAACTTGGTGGTGAAATTGGTATTTATAAAGTATGCATTTCTTTTAGTAAAAGATGATGACTGTGACTCAGATGCAGAAAATGAACAAAACCACGATCCTAGTGTTGAAGAGTTCCTGCAACAACAAGACACTGCAGTCATTTACCCTGAGGCACCAGAAGAGGACCAAAGGCAGGGCACACCAGAAGCCAGTGGTCATGATGAAAATGGTAAATGGAACTTCACCATTGTTTTTGTTTTCATCCTTAAAGGATTATTTCTATTATTCTACTCTAGGAACCTACTGTCCTACTATAGGGAACATTTTTGAAAACCAAAACTGATCGAAGGTGGCTATAGAAACTAATTTCTTCAATTAATGGAACATTGTCCATAATAACAGTACAGTATTATATTAGTGGCATCTAATGTAGATAATGGTAATGTCACTGCATAAGAAATGCTTAGAACAGTGCCTGGACGTTGATTTCCATCCACTAACATGGCATCAAGTCGTAGAAGTGGGAACTAGGATAACCCTTACTGCCCAATGATTCTTTTCCACTGTTCTTCTAGCAAGCAAAACATGATTGTCTGGTTCAAAACATCCTAATTTGAAGACAAATGGTTTATCTACCTGCTTTAGTTCACTCTGATATGAACAGCCACTGTATAAAGAGTAACAAAATACAATAATAAAGTGTTCATAATTTCCTAAAAAGAAATAGGCTGTCATCCTGCCCTTCCATGCACTAGAAACAGATGAAAATTGCTTGCTAAGAAATTTTATGCAAGACCTGTACCAAATACTAGGTAGTTACTTAGAATGTTTAAGGATACGTCAAGTTTTAAGATCCTAATCTGGTTTGATTTTCCCACTTTAATGGATATATTTAGTTTACATTCAAATAATCAACTTTTTCTTAAATAATTTTTTTTCCTTTATTGGTTTTAGAAAGAGAAGAAGTGAGAGGGAGAGACAGACAGAGACATAGATGAGAGAGAACATCCACTGGCTGCCTCCTACATGCTCCCCACTGGGGATTGGGCCCACAACCTGGGTATGTGTCCTGACTGGGAATTGAATCGGCAACCTCCTGGTGCATGGGTCATCACTCAGTCACTGAGCCACACCAGCCAAGTCAAATAATCAACATTTTTAAGGCTTTTTTAAAAGAGCAGTTGTGTGTATACAACAAAATTGAGACAGAGAGAGAAATGTCCCATATATCCTTTCTCCCCACACATGCACAGGCCTTTCCCGTTATCAACATAACTCACCAGAATGGTAGTTTTTTTGTTTTGTTTTTTAACCAAGGACAAACTACATTTGCACATCATAATTATTACAAGTTTGTAGTTTACCTTAGGGTTTACTCTTGGTGTTTACATTTGTGGGTTCGGACTAATGTATAATGACATGTATCTATCATTGTAATATACAGAGTAGTTTCAGTGCCCTAAAAATTTTGTTCTCTGCCTATTCATCTTTCCCCCTCTCCTCTACCCCTGAAAACCACTGATTCTATGTCTCCATAGCCTTGTCCTTTCCAGAATGTCATATAATAGAATCATGTAGTATATAGCCTCTTCAAATTGACTTTTTTCACTTAGAAATGGGCATGTAAGATTCTTCCATGGATTTCTGTGGCTTGATAGCTCATTTCTTTTGTGTTGAATAATATTCCATTGTCTGGATGCATCACAATTTATTAATCCCTTCACTTACTGAAGGACACTGTCCATATTTTGGCAACTATGAATAAAACTGCTATAAACACCTGTGTATAGATTTTTGTGTGCACATAGTTTTCAGTTCCTTTTGGTGAATAAGAAGGAGCCCAATTGATGGTTTGTATGGTAAGAATATGTTCAGTTTTATAAGAAACTGCCAAATTGTCTTCCAAAGTGGCTGTACCAGTTTTCATTCCTACCAGCAATGATTGAGATTTCCTATTGCTTCACATCCTTGCCAGTATTTGGTATTGTCAATGTTCTGGATTTTGGCTGTTCTAATAGGTGTGTAGTGGTTTCTTGTTTTAATTTTCATGTCCCTGATGACATGTGATGTGGAGCATCTTTCCATACTTATCTGCCATCCGTATGTCTTCTTTGGTAAGCTATCTGTTAAGGTCTTTGCCCATTTTTAATTGAGCTATTTGATTTTTTTTGTATTGAGTTTTAAGAGTTCTTTGCATATTTTGGATAGCAACCCTTTATCAGCTGGGCTTTTTACAAATATGTTTCCCAATATGTGGCTCATCTTTTTTTTTTTTAATGTTTTTATTGACTTTTTAGAGAGAGAGGAAAGGAGAGAGAGATAGCAACATCCATGTGAGAGAGAAATATCAATCGACTGCCTCCTGAACACCCCCTACTGGAAATTAAGCCCGAAACTCGGGCATGTGCCCTGTCCAGGAATCAAACTGGGACCTCTCAGTCCATGGGACGACGCTCAATCTACTTAGCCACACCAGCCGGGCTGTGGCTGATCTTCTAATTCCCTTGATATTATCTTTCTCAGGGCAGAAGTATTTAATTTTAATGAAATGTAGCTAATCAATTACTTCTTTCATGAATTGTGCCTTTGGTGTTGTGTCTAAAAAGGCATCAACCATATCCAAGCTCATACAGGTTTTCTCCTGTTATCTTCTAGGAATTGTATAGTCTTGCATTTTACAGTTAGGTCAGTGATCCATTTTTTAGTTCAATCTAGTGAATGGTGTGAAGGTCTATGTCTAGATTATTAATTATTTTGTGCATGAGGATATTTGGTTGTTATATTACCATTTGTTGAAAAAACTGTTTTAGCTTTATTGTACTGCCTTTCCCCCTTTGTCAAAGATCTGTTGACTATATTTATGGGGATCTATTTCTGGGCTCTATGTTCTGCTTCATTTATCCATTTGTCTATACCACACTGTCTTGATTTATAGCTTTATAGTAAATCTTGAAGTTGTGTAGTGTCAATCCTTTGACTTTATTCTTCTTAAATCTTGTATTTGCTACTCTGGATCTTTTGGCTCTCCATGTAAACTTTAGTGTGTTTCTAAAGTCCATAAAAAACTTTCTAGAATATTTATTGGGATTGCATTGAATCTATAGATCAAGTTGGGAATAAATGACGTCTTAACAATATTGAATCCCTTTATCCATGAAGTTGGAATATCACTCCATTTATTTAGTTCTTTAATTTTGTTCATCAGGGTTTTGTAGTTTTCTTCATGTAAATCACATACATATTTTTGTTAGATTTATACTTAAGTATTTCAATTTTTGGGTGCTAATGTAAATGGTATTGTATCAATCAACTTCTACATTTTTGAAGGAAATTGAGAAAAATGGTGTAGAAAACAAAATGGATTTTATTGAAAAGAGTCAACTGTGCCTTCCTCAAATCAGGAATAAGCTATGAAAAAGAGAAGAAACTGAAGTTTTACTCCAGAATAGATAGGTTTTTTGTAACTAAATCGGTGACAAAGGAAATAGAAGTAGAGTACTCCAGTTTCCTTCAGTTTGCCAAAAGTTCACATTTATGAACACTGTAGATTATTGCCCCAGGGGACACTGCATTTCATCTTAATGGTTAGTGTTCTGATGATCAGTATTTATATATTTGGAGAATCTACAGTTTTTGTTGTCATAATCCTATAAGGTCCTACTGTTCCCACTTTCATTTCTTGTTTGTTTGTTTTTTCTCTTAAAGAAAATGTATTAACATTTCACCTGTAGAAGCCATAGTTTAAGATAAATATGAAAGGGAAATAGAAACTTTTTAAACCCATGTGTACATGTGTATAATGTTTATGTAACAAAATAGTTTTCAAAAAGCTTCAGTAAAGCCCTGGTGAGTTTGGCTCAGTGGTTAGAGTGTCAGCCTGCGGTCCAGAGAGACCTGGGTTCTGTTCCCTCTAGGGGCACATACCTCCATTGCAGTTTGTCCCCAGTCCTGGTTGGGTCGTGCGGGTGGCAGCCACTCAATGTGTACCTTTCATGTCGATGGATGTTTCTCTCTCTCTCTCTCTCTCTCTCTCTCTCTCTCTCTCTCTTCCTCTCTCTCCTTCCCACTCTATCTGAACAAAAAATAAAAAAAAAAAAGCTTCAGTTAAAAAAAAAACAAAAAAACAATTAAAACTAAAGAATTGTTCCACTGCATAGATCAAATAAGGTTAAACCTTGTAAAGTTCAGTGTTCAAATCAACCCAGTAAAATCCCATATAAATTGGGACCGTAACCATTCTGGTTTGATAAAACATTTGACTTGTAAAATATGTTTTGGCGGGGGCTGGGGGGGTATTTAGTGGTTTCTTTTTTGTTTTTTGGTTAATTCTCGCCTGAGGATATTTTTTCCATTGATTTTTAGAGAGTGGAAGGGAATGAGAGGAGGGTAGAGAGAGAAAGATACATTGATGGGGGAGAGACACATCAATCAGTTGCCTCCCACATATGCCCCAATCAGGGTGGGGATTGAACCACAATCCAGGTATGTACCCTTGACCAGGAATTGAACCTGCAACCTTTTGGTGTACAGGCCGATTAATCACTGAGCTTCACTGGCCACAGCTAGAATATGTTTTTAATTCAGGTATTCCTTACTTTTACATATACAGTATAATTTATATACTGCTAATAAAGTATTTCACAATACTCTATCACACCAGTAGACTCTATTTAAATATAAAAAATTATCTTCAGAAATTCTTAATTTTTTAGCAGATAAAACAAGCCCCCCCTGCACTTCCTAAGTTGTGAATAGGCAAACTATTCCAATAGATTGATTACCATAAAATCTGAATTAGTGGGGAACAAATCAAGATTTTTCAAAGGTTTTACATCAAATAATACTATCAGTCTGAAATGTTATGCTACCTACCAAAGAAGGAGGAAGATACAAAAAATATTTTTAATAAGTGTATTCATGGTCACAGATACATAAAGTAAGTATAGAAAGTTCAAAAAATGATCAGATAAGTTGTTGTTTTAGTAATATTCAATTACTACCTTAAATTTATTATGGGAATTTTAAAAAACATTTTTTTTTACATGACAAGCCATTATTGCTAAAAAGTGATTTTTTAAAAAACAATACAATTATTTTAAAAAATAGAAACAGAAGCTTCACTTAACTTTTAAACCTTCATTCTACAACTTGCTTATTATGTTAAATATGCAGATTTACTTTTCATTGTTTTATGCCAGTGACCTAAAAGAATAAATTCAAATTTTACATGTGTTAGAATATTCAATAGATATTGATTTGTGAAAGTAATTACTTGCTGTTAAAAAATATAAGCAACCAACCATTTTACAATATATAAGCAACCAATCATTTTACAAAATATTAGTATTTTATTAATTGGTTGGATTAATCATGAAGGCAAAATAGAAAATAGAAGATAATGAGAGCAGACAGCTCTGTGACACTGTGAGCAGTTTGAGTTTGAGTGATGAAAATCATTGTGATTGTGGTGCCAATACTGAACACCTACAATGGTGGACTCTGACTTTTGCCATTGTAAATAGAATGGACAAGGCAGTCCGGCAAGGAAAATGTGTCAAATGTTGACTTCCCACTGGCCTGTACAAATAGGAAATTCATACTAGACAAAATTCTAAAAAATTTCCTCATGCAACTAATCTAGTCCCCAAAGAAGTGGGTCATGTTAGAGTCATCACCAACAGAAAACTCTGGTTCCAGTTGCTCTGCTAACAAAAGATGCCATCCTAAACTTTGGGGGTTTTGGTTTTTCTATTTTTAATATTTTAAATAATATATATATATATATATATGTATTTTGATACATATTTTAGCATATTTACCTAGCTTTGTAGAGTTAAGTCTTAGTCTATTATTTGCAGGCTGGTCCTTGAGCAAGATACTTAATTTATATAAATTTGAATTTCAGTAAAGGTTATATATGTTTATGAAGCATTTGGCTATTGTTATGAGATTTTCTTTGGTGGTCTATTTATTTTTCTATAAGAAAATCAAAATGAAGGTAGAGATATTTTCTTTGAAGAAATAAATCAAATGTGGAAAACTACTCTTAGTTAAGTAATATTAATTGACAAAGTAGAATTGCATTTTTAGGATTATCAGATTAGATGGTTCCAAAATGACATATAGTTTATTTGGTGAACCCCAATTTATGCATAATGTCTTTATTTTCTGAAAGCTATTCTATATTTATTTATCCTATAAAATTATACAAAAAAATTGTCAGAGTATTTCAGTAGGGGAAAGAACATAAATAATTATGCATGAGAGTTCTTTATGGGCCAAGCCTAGATCTGGCTCCCACTATTGCTTACCCTCCTCCTGCATTCTTTTGGTCTAAACTCAAGTCATAAGGCTGCCTAACTGCAACAAGTCTTAGACAGCTAGTTTAGCTATGTACTACTTACTCTCTGATGACAGTAAGTGTCATTTTCAAATTTGAAAGAAAGCATTAAGTAAGGAATGATGACTTGTTACCTATAGAGAGATTCTGTTATGATATACAAGTCCATTAATATATATATATGTACAAATCTGTAACCTGCATTCTGATTTTACTTTTGTTTGTTGTTTTTGTCTAATTGATCATACAAAAGAAGAAAAGAATTGGGGTTTTAGTAAAAAAAAATACAGGACCTTAAAGTCAGACAGCACACATTTGAATTCTGACTTCATCATTTACTGACTGTGTGACTTTCAAGTTATTTAATCTTTCTGAGCCTTATGTTTTTACTTTTTTAAAATATAGATGAGTATCATTGTATTGTTTTGAGGATCAACTATAAACTGGGTAACATAGTATCTGGCACATAGCATATGGAAACTCAGTGGTAGCTTTGAAAGTGTATTTTGTAATTTTATTTTTCAATTACAGTTGACATTTCAATATTATTTTATATGAGTTTCAGATATACAGTATAGTGGTTAAACAATTATATAATTTAAAAATATTTTTTGAATTTTTAAAATTTTAAATATGTGATCTTTCTTTTACAGGAACACCAGATGCATTTTCCCAATTACTCACCTGCCCATATTGTGATAGAGGCTATAAACGCTTTACCTCTCTGAAAGAACACATTAAATATCGCCATGAAAAGAACGAAGATAACTTTAGTTGCTCCCTGTGCAGTTACACCTTTGCATACAGAACCCAACTTGAACGTCACATGACATCACATAAATCAGGAAGAGATCAAGTAAGTGAAATGACTGAGTTCACTAGCTCTCCAAATTTTGAAAATTCATCCCTCCATAGACGGCAAGGGTTTTAATATTCTTAAAAGTTAAAAATATGTACCAGACTGTTTTGTCTACAGACTTATAAAAATGAAAATGATTATTTGAATTATCTGGTCATTTCTGAGTTAAAATTACATGTGAACATGATTTTAGAGGTAACTAATTTTTTTTTTTTCAGATAACATCCATTTCATCTCAACTTACTTATTTTACTATATATACTAAACATACTATAAAATATATATATACACTATAACTATAAATATATACTATGACAAATATTTCTCTTATGTTTAGAACTAGGTTTCATAATGCATTGTACTAAAATGTTCAGTGTAGGAAAATAAATATTGGTTACATTAAACCCCATGACTTACTACTGACCAAATTTAAAAGAAAATCAAATAATAATAATTAAGTTCCATTTTTTTTGTTAACCAATGACTATTTATTCTCAGTATAAGCTCCAGTAAATAAGAAAAGTGCTTCCCCTAAGAATCTAAAGTTTAGATTCTAATGCATTTTTATTCTGAAGACTCAATTTTCATATGGTTTATTCTACCTTTATGTCACTTTACCTCAATTTCTAGAGGTATAAACCAAGACTACTCTGTAAGTATAAGTTACATGTAAATTGTTGGCTCTGTACTTAAGGATTAAAGTCAAAGAATCTTGCCATTTATTCTTTTATGAGGTCTTGATAACTATCAATTATAAATCAACTGAATATCTCATTAAATCTAACTTAAAAAATCAAATAAATATTCCACTGCATGGGGTATGTCAAGGCTATCTGTTGTGATTGGGGCACATGTCCATTTTCTTATACCAAAGAAAATAATCTATATAAATGAGTCCCTTTGAACTTTGCCCTAGGAATATATCTAATGTAAGTCGTATATCCCACAGAGAACAAAATAGATCATTTCTAAGATGATGGCCAGATTAAAAAAAATATATATATATGAAAAGAGAATGATAGAACATGGTCAGCTTATCTTCTTAGGACTTGAGCAATGAGGGGTTTGGGGACTGACAAATCAGGAACTATAGAACCAAGATTGCCTTAGATAGGTTAATAGTTCAGTCTCTGAATGAGCACTTGAAATGGGAGACAGTACCAAAACAAGGAGAATACTGATGCAGAGAAGGAACTACTGAAGACAAACACCATCTATTTACCATCTTCCCCTACTACAGTCTTTTTTCTTTTTTTTAAATCCTCACCTGAGGATGATTTTCCATTTATCTTCAGATAGAGTGGGAGGGTGAGAGAGAGAGAGAGAGAGAGAGAGAGAGAGAGAGAGAGAAACATCGATGTTGCCAGACACATTGACTGGCTGCCTCCTCCACAACCCTGACCAGGACTGGGGACGAACCACAACCGAGGTACATGCCCTTGACCAGAATCAAACCCACAATTCTTTGGTGTGCAGGCCGATGCTTCAACCACTGAGCCATACCAGCCAGGGTCCTATTATAGTCTCATTAGGGACAATTCAGACAAGTGCTCTTTCCATCTTAGAGTCCTGATGTAACTACAGTATAGATGGGCCTTGGGAAAAGAGCCTGTTCACATGACAGTTGGGGAGCAGATCCGTCTTGCAATTGCTGCCCCCACCCTCTCATACCAGGGGCCTTTGTCAAATGAAAAGATCTCCAAAGGACAGATAGAGCTAATAATGAAAGCAGGAGATGCCATTGTAAAAGCAAATTGTAAGATCTTTGATGAGCATGAAACCCCCTTTTTGATCATTTCTCTGATGGGTACAAAGGTAGTAGGTGTTATATATGAAGTGTGTGGTCAGACTAAAGTCAGAAGGAGTTGTGATAAATGTGGTGACCAATAAAATGAGGAAGAAAAATAGGGAGGTCTTGGAAACAATTTAGGTTATGAGGCAGCAAACTAAAGGGTAGAAGTATCTAGCATGCTGGTCTTTGAAAATCATGCTACAATTTAAAGGTAAGCATTTTCGTGTCTTATTAATTTATTCATTCAACAAATATTTGAATTGCTATTATGTGTCAGGCCCTGTTCTAGGTGTTACAATAGTGAAAAAAACGAGCAAAGTCCCTGAGAGTAGGGGACATATACAGGGTGGGGCAAAAGTAGGTTTACAGTGTGAATAAGCAAAACAGTTTATTCTTGTATTATTATTTATTAATTATTGTATCCATATGAACAATTGTAAACCTACTTTTGCACCACCGTGTATTAATAGGTGATATAAAACAGATATAATATATAAAAACGAGAGCCCTCGTCAGTTTGCTCAGTGGTTAGAACATCGGTCTACAGACCAAAGAGTCAAGGGAATGTACTTCAGTTGCAGTTTGTCCCCGGCCCTGGTTGGGGTCATGCAGGAGGCAACCAATCAATGTGTCTCTCTCACATAGATGTTTCTCTTTCTCTCTCTCCATCCCTCCCTCATACTGTATCTGAAGATAAATGAAAAAATATCCTCAGGTGAGGATTTTATACACACACACACACACTCGTAGTATGAAGAAAAATAGAGTAAGAGGACAGAAAGTGATGAAAACTGCTATTTGTTTAGAGGGTAGGGAGACCTTTCTGAGAATGTGCCATCTGAACTAAGACCTGAATGAAATGAAGAAGCCAGTGATCGAATGATTGGGGGAAGGGCACTCCATTCAAAGGGAATAGACTGAAAGCATGAAAAGGCCTTGAGGCATAAACTTACCTGACATCACCAAAGAACAGCCTGGAGGCTGGTGTGAACAAAGGGAAAAAGAAGGTGAGGCCAGGAGGTATGGAGGAACAGATGATGTAGCTCCTTGTATAGACCATGATAAAGACTTTGAATTTTATCCCAAAGTGGGATAGGAAAGCCTTTGAAGGATATTGAATTTTCACTTTATTATTTTTTTATTTTCAAGGGAACACTAGCTATTGGGCAGAGAATAGGTCAAGAGAGACAAAAACGAAAGCAGGGAGACCACTTAGATGCTATTACTGTAGGCCAGGCCAGGGGTGGTTGGTGGCTTTAAACTAGGTGGTGGTGACAGACATCACCTAATGAGGAATATAGGATTCAGAATATATTTATATGGCTTGCTGGTGGAATGGGTAAGGATATAAGAGAAAGAGATTTTTTTTCCCCAAAAATGGCAGCGAAGTGAAGCTACATAGACCATCTCCCAGGAACAAACTGGAATTACAACTAAAATAAAGACAAATCATCAGGAAAAAGCAAGAGAAAAGCAGCTTGCGAGGACCATATAACCAGGGACACTGACTCTATCCTGGTAGGATTGCGGAGGTGCAAGAGGGGCCTGGGAGCCCACGGACTGCAGCCGTCTTAGCTGTCAGCAGCACCCTCGGGGTTAAACTCCCAAGTGGCTCCACAGAGCAGAGCCAGGACAGACACTAAAAAGCCACAACTACTCACCTTGGGCTTCAGCAGAGGGAGGGCGGACTAAACTGGAACTGTGTGGGGACAGTCAGGATTTGGAGGGCACTCAGAGCTTTTGCTGAGTTGTAGCCACGCAGGACAGAAGCCATCTTACTCCTTCCCAGAGCTCTGTGGAGAGGAGACAACCCCTCCGTCAGAGATTCAACACCACCATGTGGGCCATTTAAATGCAAACTGAGGCTCATTAACAACCAGCATCTAACCCACCTTCTGGAAATCCCCTTACTCTGAACACCTGAGGGAGTTTTTCATTCAACTGAGAACCCAAAGCTCTTCAAGAAACCACCAGTAATAGTCTCCAGGCAAAAAGGTAGAAAACGGAACCTTTCATAGGGTTGAAACTCTACCCAGGAAAGTAAGACTTGATACTGGTATTTAACGTGGGTCCACCCTCACTCACCCATATCCAGTACAGGGAGCCACAAACTGCAGAATACCAATACCAACAGGGAAAATTTGACAGGCTCCAAAACCCACTGAAATAGACAAAATGATGACACAAACTCCATATGAAAGAACAAGGAGACCTCTACCGAAGAAGAGATCAATGAGGAGCAGTTAAGCAAGTTAACAGAGCTAGAATTCAAAGCCATAATCTTGAGGAAGCTCAACAGCATGAGTAAGGACATCAACACCATGAGTAAAGACATATAAATGTTGAAAATCAACCAACTGGAAATTAAAAACCACCAAGAAGAAATGAAGAATGACATATCAGAAATAAAGAACACATTGGAAGGTCTAAACAGCAGAGTAGAGGAAACTGAGGACTGGATCAATGAATTAGAAGAAAGGGTACAAAAAAATCAACCAATCAGAAAACCAAAAGGAAAAAACAATTAAAAAACAGGAAGACAGCTTAAGAGAACTGTGGGACAACTGGAAACATAATCATATTTACATGATAGGAGTCCTCGAAGAAGAAGAAAATGAGCAAGGATTAGAGAATATATTTGAAGAAATAGTGACAGAAAACTTCCCTAACTTGGTGAAGGAAGAAGGCATTAATGTTCAAGAAGCACAGAGAGCCCCAAGTAAGAAGGACACAAACAGGCCCACACCAAGACACATAGTAATCAAAATGCCACAAATTAAAGACAAAGAGAGAATCCTAAAGGCAGCAAGAGACAAGCAACAGGTTACCTACAAAGGAAACCCCAAAAGGCTCTCAGCTGACTTCTCAACAGAAACACTACAGTGCAGAGGGAATGGCATGAAATAGTCAAGGTCATGAAAATCAAGGATCTGAATCCAAGACTACTCTACCCAGCAAGGCTATCATTCAAATACAAAGTCAAAGAAAGAGCTTTCCAGACAAAACAAGGCTAAGGGAATACATTAGCACCAAACGAGCACTGCTAGAAATGTTAAAAGGACTGCTGTAATTAGTAGAAGAAATAGGAAGAAAAATATAATGGCACTAAACAAAAATGGCAATAAATAAGTACATATCAATAATCACCTTAAATGTGAATGGATTGAATGCTCCGATAAAAAGACACAGAGTAGCTGACTGGATA